GGGAATTACCAGATTGTGCTCACGGCTCGTGAGAAGCCCTCGTTGTATACTCTGAGCATGTTCCTGCACACCAGAGGCGTTGAGGCGCAGGGGCGCACTTCACGAGCGTGACCGTGTGTCCTTCGCGGCACGGCGTAGCGGTGCTTTCAACATATGTACTTGAATACTGCAGAAGGTGCGCCCCGCTTCTTCCGTACACCTCGCGAAAATGCTGAAGTCAGTGTACCCCGCGCGAAAGCTGCGGGAGAAGGAGCGCCCGCTTCCTGCTAGCGCCGAATACAGGGCGGCCGCTGCTGTTAGGCCACCACGACAGGACTGCTCGAGGACGTCCCCCAGTGACACTAGGTAAGGAGCAGATCCAAAGCAGACGCTGCGATGAACGGTTCTGAAGGCTTTATCAAGAGGCTCCGATGGAATGTACACCTACAGCGGGCACAACTTTGGCTACCTTGAACATACTACGTTGCGCAGCTAGTACATAGTGCCTAACTTGCTGTTAAGTGCCGTGGTATTAAAGGAAGCGAGTAGCGTGTGACTTTACCGGCTTTTGAGGAGCGCGCCCGACTTTTTAGTAAAGCGTAAGCGCTAGGATATAGCCGGTTTGAAGGCTGAATGCACGCTTTAGAAAGATCGCTGGCCTCTTGTTTCATCACAGTCGCAACTCGCCGTGGCGTCCTGCACGCCACCTTATGCCATGCAGCGTACCATGCAACCAGCGTATACAGCGGAATCCAAGGTTCTTTCGGAGACAGGAGCGACACACTACTCCGCGACACCAACTATCTTCAAGCCATTGAAGGCGTTCGGCACGGTGGCGTCCGTCCGTATCTAATGAACTAACACCCTTTCCCTGTGTTCGGCACGGTGACGTGCGTCCTTATCTAATGAACTTACACCCTTACCCTGAGTGGTGGACGGAGACGCTGTACCGTTAATTTTGCTTCCGACAGGATATCAATGTATACGTCTGCGGAATGCTGCTGAGTCTCCACTGGTATGGGCCTGGCAGTTGCCCAAGGCGTACAAATAGCGTGGCGCAGCAGGGAAGCGCCTTGCCGTCCGGTTCGAGCCGCTAATGCACCTGACAAAGCCGGTAGTTTCGCCTCCGCACACTGGCCGGTGTCCACGAATAAACGTGTGTCATTTTGCTTCTGCCTGCGGCAGCTCGCTGTCGGGTATATCGTTCGGAGAACGCTGGCCCACATCTCTCAGCAGACCGCTCGCGTGGTATCGCGCTTCGTAGCAGTGTGCGCTGAGGCATCGCGGAGACTGCGGAAGACTGCAGTGCCTACAACCAGCGTGTTTAGGGTCTTCCGAGAAGTCCTGCACGTATGTGGGCACAGGCTAGTCCATCGCGCTGGCCACCCCGCCCGGGGAGATCATGCATCTCATCATTCTGCGGCCATACTGGTTCCTTCAGGCTGGCGTCTACCAGTCCAGGGCAACGCGACGTCATGGCGCAGATGAGGATGCCTAGGCAAATCCAGCAGCGCACGTCCTCAACCGCATCTCTCAGGCAGGTCCGTCTCCAGATCCGTCCTTGCACCTCATGTAAGGCTCACTGTCAGATGTCGCGCCTTCGCTCAAAGATGTCTTGTGCTCAGACCTCGCCCCTCAAAAGCAGGCTGCTGTGCACTTCCTCCCGTGCGGCGTGCACGCTCCGCCCGTGCCACGCTCAAATGCTTCAGCTGCACTCGGAAGCTTTATGCTGCTCCTGGAGCAGACGCATTTAGACCTATTCAGCAGGGCTGTCGGTCGCGCTGCACGATCTGCATTCAGCTGTCTCCCGTAAATGTGCATCTCTGTAGGGACTCTGCATGGTGAGGGAGGAGGCAGACGTGCGCCAACTGAAAGCACAGATGCTCCAAGCGAAGCAGTCCACTGCACAGGCGTTCAAGCCTCAGCGATTGAGAACACCCGTCCCCGTGGATGGACGGCAGCATGTCCAGCTGCAAACCGAGCCACATCTTATCGAGTTGACAGAAAGAGCGCAAGAGTTCATGGCAGAGACGCAGACAGACCCGTGGCTTGACAGGCCGGACACACCCATGTTTCGGCCACACAAAGAGGAAATTCACGCGTCAACCCAAATACAAGACGGCGACCTTTTCGACTTTGACGAGTGAGAATACCCTCTTTTCCCGAGGAGGCCGCACAATCGCTTGCCTGCAGCAGGGTGGCCTCACCGGCGGAGAAGTGTTCAGACCCCCGCATACCCAGAGCGCCATCGCCGCCGGTCAGAAGAACGAAATTCTGCCCGCATTCCTGCTAGTCTGCTGTGCTCACAGAGAAGTTGTACCAATCCTAGAAGTCATCGTTGGGAAAGTCCTAGAGCAGAGCATCTGCGAGGTAAGGACCGCGGGCAAAGCCCAGAGTGGCGGGAAGGGCGCCCCCCGCGGCCGCTTCTCCCTGCGGTGACGCTACGGGTATCCCGAGGCGGTCGAATCGCTGTTACCGACAAACACAGCACGTCGTCGGTCGCGGCGGTACAGGACGTCTTTACCGTGCAAAAGACGCTGCAGTGACTGGCTTCCACATGGTGACGAAGGGGAACGAGGGGTTGCGTCAACTATACGTCCGGTGCAAGACTCTGTGCTCAAACAGGTGACGGAAGAAGAAGAGCTTGCTGCCATCCGTGAACAGCAAGAAAAGTTTGAGAGGATTCGTGCCCAAGAAGTCATTGAGTACCAGCGGCTCGCAGCTGCCGAAAAACGGCGAAAAGAGGAGATGGTATACAACAAACCGCGTCCATATTCTGTGCATTTCTGCTCGTATTACGCTTACCGTTAGCAATCACACGCCAGAAGGCCGCCTTGACGCCTGGGTGAATATTGAATGGGAGGCATCATACCGGGGGTGCAAGTGGGCCCACAAACTCACTGTGTGGTGGCTTCGGGACGGCCTCCCTTTCAGGTGGACGACACAGGGCACTAGTCGGACTGCATTAATAAGTTTCAGCTGTAGGACACTTCGCCAAGACCCCGCAACGTACTCGTTGCAGCAGGAGAGGAAGGCAGCTGCTGCCACACTCTAGCCATACGCATGGCGCAGCATTACAGTCCATAAAAGCAGCGGCTTTGATAGCCGGCGACCCGGGATTGCAATCGAGTCGCGTGTGGTATTCGTGCGTTGTAGGAGAGACGTCTAGCGCAGACAAAGGCCTGGCAAGAAGTTAAGCGGTCTGCGTGGCTCAAGCTGCTTGCGACAGACTACGGTGTGGCACGTCGTCGAGGAAGATCAAAGTTACTTTTGCAACAGATGGCTCTATCCACTGGATTGTTCCTTCACCCCACAGTGGTAAGGAGCACGCGAGGGTGTCCATCTTCGGGTCTTTCATAGCCTGACGTGAGCCACCGGATTCACTTTGCACGACGAATCCGCCGTGCTCCTGCATTTAATGGCCAGGTACTATGACATTGACTCTCGCTGGTGTTTACTGATTCAGTCATTTGCGGCGGAAAACTGCTCGACGGGAGGTCTCACTGGGCGAATGCGTCACGCCGCCCTGACATCACCCGGCTTGTGAACGTTTTGTCTTCGGAAAGGGCCCCTTTGAGATGTTTTGCTCAGTATCACGTCGATAGAGAATGTGCTCAGTCTACTTGAGAAAGTGTGTGCGTGTGCGTCACAGGAGATAGCGGAGGAGACGGCGCGTTGTAGTATGGTCCCATCGGGCGGTTTCTCGTTTTTTTCTGAATGCAGATCAGCTGGCGCAGCGGACTGGTGCTTGTTTGTGCGCAGGGAGCTGTATCCGGACAGTTTTGGCCGACTCTGATGAAAAAAACAGTATCCGAGGTAGGACTGCTGCGAACTTCTTTCGCAGTGAGTATCTGCAGATTTTGCCGATGCTTCTGCGGATGAGTTTACGGGGACGTTAGCATCTTATGCACTCCCAAACAGCATCTTAGACAGACTTCCCTCATAAAGGTGGAACCAGCAGTTTCTCTACGCACATATAGTTTTAATCGCGTGCTTGCTTTCAGGTTTCACAGCGGAACGACTTCGCAGCCTTCTCAGTCGCCGGTAAGCGCCCTGCGTTGTCAGGGGAACTGTCGTTTATCTTGCTGTGATAGTCACAGTATGAGCGTGGTTGCAGATTTCCCTAATCACGTCTGCCTGTGCATCGCCGCGCTTTGTTCAGCGTTGTTACCGGGCTGGGACAAGGTTCAAAGAGAGAATGAAATGGAGACTGCAGCGGAGTGAGCATCACAGCAACAGCTCGAATAGCGAGCTGGACCTGAAACTCGGGGGAGCCGCACGTTTGTTAGGTCGCCGCAGCGCTGTTCTTCGCAGCTCGTACAGGCAGCAGCTCTAGGACGGGCGTCTACTGGAGGATACGCGTGTTCATCAGGTTCTGCATCCGAAACCGTGCTTTGTTGCGTGCAGGGTTGCACGCAAGCAGAAGCTGATACTTGACGATAGAATGGACCAGATACGGAGGAAGTCCGAGGTGGTACGTCGTATTTCCGCATTCACGGTTGAGCACGCAGAGTGTACGGCTAGTTTTCAGCATGAAGCGGTGTCTGAGCCTTTTGCCGGAAGTACTCATTAACCTATACGAAAGGAGCTTGTCGTGAAACTCGTCTGCCGCCTCCTTAGAAAGCAGCTTTGCATACCGTTATGGAATATACCAGGAATCGTATACGCTGTTGTTGCGGTGCACAATGTATATGTCTACACTCAGAAAGCCCGCATAGCACGTGAAGAGGTAGAACGACAGGATATGGAGCACGCAGACACGCTTGCGGAAGAGAGGGCTTTCGAAATCGCGGAAGCTGAGCGTCGCGCGCAGGCGGAGCAGGCGGCTGCCGAAGAAGAGCGTGCGGTGAGTCTGCATAAGGCACCCGCGAACATTCCTCACATCGGGGGCTAGTGGTGTTAAACTTGGGGGAAGCTCGAAGACTCCGGAGAAATGTCTGTCGTCATCGCATTCTACACCGCAGCTGGCACCAGACACAATCCAGAAAGCGCCTTTGAAAGGTTTCAATTTCTGTACTTCGCCGGTCTTCCCTTGTATAAAGCCGTTCCCTCCGTGCGTGCTGAAGCTACTACATGAGGGTGCTTGTGGAATTGGGCGACAGGAAGCGATGGACAACGTCGACGCCTCGAACAAAGAGGAGGATGACGCCCTTGATGTAAATGAGCAGGAAGAAGGGTCACCGATGGCGGAGAACGAATCGGGTGGTGCTGAGATGCAGGAATGACGAACACGCGCTCCGATGCAAAAAAGCCCAGTCTTGGCGGAGGACGAGTGCGATATGAGGGAAGGTCGTGGGCTTCGGGAATGAGGGACGCCGCACCGCTTGCGCGTTTCGAGAAATTCACGAAACACGCCAGGTTCCGTGCTGCAGAAAGAAGTTTGTGTGCTAATCCAACGCGAAATTGCATCTAGTGTGCGTGAAAAAGAGCTGTCCCCAACTGCGCCGCTTGTACACTGTGAAGTGCTCTATATGTCGAACGTTCCCCAAAATTAGGTGCAGAACGTGTTACTCGACTGTCCTGTCTGTGACCTTGACAAGGAGCGCAAACATCTACGCACCGTCGTGTACGCTGGACCTCCACAAGGTATATGGTTTCGTCTACCACGGCGAGTAGGTCGTGACTGCCGTGCAATGTCAGGAAATTGTAAAATCCGAATAGCTCCGCTGTCCTCAAGGATCAGGTAGCGCGTGGGCGTACCCCCGTACGAGGGCAAGTTCGGCTCAAGAACCATGCGCGGCACTTTGCCAATCGCAGGATGTACTATTTCACGGTCCCTCAAAAAGCATTTCAGACTTTTCTATTGAGGATGCTGAGCGAGTGCACACGGACTCGGACAAGACCCCATCGCTTCTTTACGCGCGTCGGATGGATGCTGGCCGTCTTTACTTCACTATAACACATCCGGGTGCGGTCCTCCGCGGCTCCCCGACATGCTAAGTCACAAGAGTACCTCTTCTCCGAAGATCTTCAGCCCTTTCGAGCGTTTTCTTCTCGACCCCTTGAGCACCGGGGTCTAAGGGGCGCGCGACGAGCCGGGGATATGTCGCGGCAAAAGCGAAGAACTCGTGCAGCCTAACACGTCCACAGTCGAAAGAGTGCGAGTGCTTGTAGCACTGACGAGGCAGGTATACACATTCGCGACTATATCGCCCAGCGGAGCAACTTGGCCAGGATGCAATGCTTAATCAGAAGCTACACAATGCTCGACTTTACAAGGTGCCTACATAGCTCTTCCACATTCGCAAGGCGCCCGCCTACACCTGCCTGTATCGTTGCAAGAGTACGTGGGTTGTGAGCAGGACACTGAAAAGCGCGTCTAAGCTGATGTGCTAAGCCATTTGGGAACGATCCGCGGCTGCGGCTGCCAGAAACGAGGTTTCACCTGTCGCGCAGGACTCTAGGCTCGTGTACCTTCATGTGACGCAGCACCCGCTCCAGTGCGTCAGCGACATCGGCGCTAGTCTCTCTCTGCGTCTCACACCGCGCAGCGGGGCTCCGTAGTGCAGAACCGGAAGCGTTGAATTGCTGTTGTTCCGCAGAGCACGCGGCCGCACAAGCGCTGCTTCTGAGGCAGTCCAAGTAACGCCTGCCCAGCCGTGCTTTTGAGGCTTCTCATCCAACGTGGATTGCTATACAGCTCAGGGTACCACGCGTAGAGCGTTCCTGTGTTGTCCTTCTGCAGAATTGCACGTGTGTGTGATCTGCCTGTTCGTGCTGGCATTCACTGTTCGCTGGTAAGCTGTATGACTGCGCGAAGACACTGAAGAGGCCACCAGAAATCCGCTACAAAGTATCACAGCGCTTACCAGTAGATCTAGGTTGTACACCGACGCTGCAATACGAAGTAGAGCTTCCTCCAATTGCTCCTGGGTCATCTGGCTCCCAGCAACTGCGTGGATACATAAGAAGTACACGCAGGAGACACGGAGACACGGACGTCCCGACGACTGGAGAAGCTGCCCATCGCCCCTGCGCGCCTGCCTGTGTGCGCTGGTGGGCAGCATATCCGTGGTACGTTGGGCCGGCACGTAGTTCCGTCCCACTGTATGAACAAGGCGCTACCACAGCATACCACTGGCGATGTTCCTAGTCTTGCAGATGCACAGCCAGCCTCCCAGCTCAACAGTATCATACCACTCTGGAGCACCATTCTGTGAAACAGGCACGCTTGCTTCGATTCAGGCGCGTTGAGTCACCGGTGTAGTGAACAAACTCACCTCTGCGATAGATAAGAGTCATCTCCTTTTGCGGTAGAAGGTTGAAACAACTTGCAAATTTGAACCACATTCTTTGAGGAATCACGACGCCACGGGGGTCGCTGAAGAGGACGAATACCATCTGCAGCCCGCTTCCGCAAGCTACCAAGATGCTCTGCACTGATTCAGATTGTAAGTGAGTATGGACTTTCTCTTTATTCTCCTCGCGTCGCGCTTTCGAAGCCAGCGAGGCCTTACGGCTCTCCAGCAGGCGAGCTAACGCTGGATGCGGCGCGCGCGAGACCGGAGCCGAGAACCCATTGAAGCGCCCGATGTGCTGGGGGCCTGGCTTCCTCTCTTGTTCAGGAGTGCTATCCCGCAGAGGCTGCTCTGGAAGAGTTGCATGCTGATTGACGAGTGACATTTCGATACCGGATGTTTCGGACTGCATGCCTTGTCTCGGTGGACTGCGCAGTCTATCGCGGCTGCCGGCGTTCCGCGTATGTGGAGGAGCAGGCGGCTCGGGATGCCGTCTCCACGGGGTGGCTGACGGCCCTTGTCTGCCGCACGACCACCTGCTACTGCCTCTGAGGCTGGCCTCGGCACGCCCTGAAGGAGCTGCGGGAGAGTCAGTAGGAGGCCCCGCTTGCGAGGCTGCTCTGAAAAGGCTTGACTCCAACTCGCCCAGTGGGGTTGCTGGTCGGGGTGGACTTGCGTTCACCCACTCACTTTTCGATAGTGACGAGTCCGCTCGGGGCCGCTGGGAGAACAGATAGACCTGCTCCATCGTTCCAGAATCATCCAGAGATCGGGGAGGGGTCTGCTGGTGCTTCTGTGGTCTGTGGGGTTGGAGGGCCTGCTCAAAGCTCCTTTTAAAGGGTGGCTGCAACGCAGGAAGAACAAGCACAAAAGCACGTGGATAGGACCCGCTGTGGGTAACACTTGACCCTTGCGAAAGCAATGCCGGGTTAGGACGCGAGCGCGGCGCCAGGAGGCATCCAGGCGTAAGTCATTAAGCAGGGAACTATATCAATCACAGCTAGCAACACCGCCTGTTCGGCAAGGAAACTCCACAGCGCACGTCGTAGGAGAAAAAAAGTGCTGCGTCACGCACGTACAGCAGAGTTTGTGCCGGGGACACACGAAAATATCTCATGCCATTAGTGACCACGTGGCAATCCCGCAGAACGTGGGATCGTTACACACGAAACACAGGGTGCACAAAGCAGCAGTTGCAGCGCTCTGAACGTCAAGCGCTGCCGCTACCCCCTTGACGCCTGCGGTGTTATACGAGTACTCCACGTGGCTCATTTTTTGCACAACGCCCTGTGGGAAAGCACGAGGACTTGACGGTCACACGAGTGCTTCACGTGGCCCGTATAATGCATGCCGGCGACCGAGGAATCCTGTGCTGCTGCACTTGCTGAAGTACGTCAATCGACACCAAACGGGGGATCACGGCGACGCACAGCAGAGCGTTTTACCCGCCTCTTCATGAAACGGAGAACGTCAAGCGGCAGTGTGCTTAAGCAGCTGACCTTGTGAGGCGCGGCTTCATCCCGCGTGAGTGCGTCCCTGGTATCAGGCGTCAACGGCTGTTGCGCCTTGTTGGCCTGTTTCGCTAACGGCGGTACGAGCCCGTCTTGTGCCACCAGCGGGTCGTCTTGCCCTTCACCCCTTCCTCCCAGCTGCTGCCCAGCTTCCCTAGTTACTATGGCGCTCCCTGATCTCTTCGGGGACACGGTGTCCGCCGGCGCAGCAGCGACGGCTGCCGTTGTAGAGCACTCGGTGACAGCCTTCAGCGAAAATTCGTCTGCGGTAGCGCCGGCAGTGCCCCCCTCGACCTTTTCTTGCATCTGGAGATAATACTGGCGGTCTGGCTTGCACGCTGATCCGTGCGTCCGGGCGTCTGCTTCGCTCTGGCCTCCCTGTGTGGAGTAAGCCTGCGATCTTTCTACTGCGCTCACTCGGCCTAGGCAACAGTGCTCAGGACGTGTACGTCTAGCGTGATTCACAGTGCAGGCAACCGGTAGATGCGTGTGCCCGTTCTCCACAACGCCCGCGCTACCCCTCTCTCGCGCCGCACGCTGTTGGGTCTTTTCAGCAAGACAGGGATCCACATTATCTCGACGATCGTTACCGTTCGCAGCGTCGTATGGAGACCCGTCGCGCTGGGCTCGATACCGCCGACTGCTGTTATTTGGATGGTGTACCCTGTACGCAGAGCACCCATATTTCGCGTGAGCAGCGGAATGCGCACGCACTACGCCCTCGAAGCAGGAGACGCGCCTGGTTCCAAGCTTGCCGTATGTGAAGGAGTCGTGGCTTCTGGAGCGCATCCGACCCTGGCCGGGTTGTCCTGCCCTTTCCCTCCCTTCGTTGCTCTTGTCGTTCCTGGTAGCCCAATGCTTCTGAGACCCCGACAGCTGGTCATATATTGCGTCTGGAGAAAGTCTCTGCTTATGCTTAGACCAGCACGACGCTATGTTTTTGTGGGCCTCAGAGGAGCTGGGGGAAGGTCCGAGCGGAGGAGACTTTAAAGGGCGCTGGCACGTGCGTAGAAGACAAGAGACATAGGGAAGCCAGTAGGCGGCGGGCTATCTTGGTGCAGCGGTGTGCGCAGCGTATGATAAGAGCAGACGCAGAAACCTGTGTCCGCGCAAGTCAGAGGAAAAAAGAAGCGAATCCGTGTGTTGTGCATCGCTGGTGTCAATAACTGAGGAGGTCATTCTCCCGTTGCCCTCTGGCTCTATGGCTTGCGACCTGACGCCAAGTCTGTTTCAGTTGTCTTCTGTTTCGAAGCTGCCGCCTGACGCGCCTTGTGTCCCAGTTGCGCAACTCACCGGCCTGAAACAACACAGAAGGATAAGGACTCATCTCAGCTCGTTACACAGCGCAGATGCCACGGAGGCTGGAAATTGGTAAGAAGGAGTTCCAGACTGCCAAAGTTGGATATGTGCTTCACCAAAGAGCAGCTCCAGGCCTCCGCGCAAAAGCTTGAACTCTTACCAGCGACTAGACGGAGTCGAGCACTTGGGCGTCTTGTTCTCCCTTCGCTCTACCACGGTACCTGCGCATGTTCACAAAATGCGCACAGTTCGCAAGAAGAACGTAGAACTCCGCTGGTTGGAATTCAGTAGTAGCGAAGTCCGCACAGTTCTAGGGTGCGCACGAACGGAGGCACGGAATACCAGAACAGCTCTGCAGGATGTGAGCTGCTCAGCCAAAGAGCGGGCAAGATTCGCACCCGAAGAGACGTATCCGGGTAGGGCTCCTTGCTCGGTGTGAAGGCCAAAACGCCCGACTTTACGCCTCAGCAACTTGGCCGCTAACCGGTGTTCGTCCTTTTGAAGGACTCCTTTCAAGTGCCCCAGGTCGGAACCGGGTGATCCTGCGCTCAGTGAAGGGAAAACAGTTGTAACATACAGGGAGAGGCGCTCAGAACCCCAGGAGAGACTCCCATCGAGTGTGGAGGCGTGCTGCCCTGCTGCACAAACCGTTGGATGAGTGCAGTGCCTTTAACAACGAACGTTGTGCAGCCGCTGAAGATCCGCGAGTACGAGGAACAATGTAAGCGTTCTGACAGGAATACTCAGGAGAACACATTGTTCCCTCGAAGAGCTAAGCGCGTGGTGGAGTGGTGCGAGCACGAGGCAAAACTTTGCAGCAGGTGCCTGCGAACTCCTGAAGCCGCCACTGGAGCAGGCCGCGGCCTTTGAAGTACTGCGACGGCACGACAGCTGCTCTGCTCGAGTGGCACTGGTGATTCAACAAGATATAAACTCCGCCGTTGTTGCGGACAGTCCACCGTAGACACCACCTCGCTTGGCTTGAGCGTCAGCGACAGGCGGTGGAAACCAGAAACGCAGTCGCCGTCGATCGCGGCAATGCCAACGACACTAGTGCGCGGTACGAGAGGGACGGCGTGCTTCCACAAAGTGACGAACAACTGTATATGTCTGTATTCAGGGCACCTCACTTGCTTCTTGACGAAGCCTGCTGAAAATGCTTAGCAGCTGCAACGCTCTTGTACCCTGAGGCTTCACCGGTACCCCTTGACACTGCGGAAAATCCTCGCGGCAGGTGCTAAAGGCTCGATCAAAGGGGAACAGCTCTGCAGACCGGGTACATGCACCCCGCCAGGAAAAAAAAAAAAGCACGCAGAGCCGTTCAAACGGTTGTAGCGTAAAAAAAGCCAGATAGAAACCAGGAAGCTATCTCCGACTCGCTCCACACGCCACCACTCTGCGCCCGCACCCCAGCTGCTGCACACGGTACCAGCAAAACAGTGCTTTCCCCGAACCAAAGGAGAACTTCTCAATTGCACAACAAGCCGCCCTCATGATATCGAGCGGCCGTTAGCTTCACTGGACGTCAGAAGTTCGCTGTTCTACCGGAACGAAACACTGCTGGGCTACCGTTCTGGAGCTTCTTTCGCTGTAAAAGGAGCTTACAGAGGAGTGAGGACGCAGCTGTGAAAGAAGAAGCAGACGGTACGGCAGCGGCAGCGGCTGGCTGCTCACGTGACTGCTGGCGAGCATCTACATATTCAATGCTTACGGGAGAAAGAGAGTTGGGCGACAAACAGCTGGAATTCGGGGAAGGACAGATAGCCAGGCGGCGACGTAGTGTCCGCAGCTGGCGCAGTGAGTTTCCCGCGGGCCGGCATGCTTCCTCGATTTCGTTGGCTAGATGCTAAAGTACTCCTTGTCTTCCTGATGATGCAAGGCCGAAAGGGGCGAAAGAGCAACGCACAAAACAGGCGGGTGAACATGTGCCTGAAAACTCAAGCAAGAGGTTATGTACGGACTACTTGGAGGAAACTTTCGCAGCAGAAGAAAAGCTCCTGCGCTCCAGATACTCAAGACATCACACCGAGGTGTACGCACACTCTGCAGTCCCTGCGAAACTGCAGAGGAATGCAGCTGGGTGGCTCCGTCGCAGGAGACTCCCGCTTGACGCGGTTGTTATCGTGGGCGGAGTGCCAGCATGCATTTTTCGTTTGCGCGTCTGACTCGTCGTGGACAGGAAGTGCCCCATACCTGCGGCAATGGCTTTTCACTAGCTTCGCCAAGGCCATAACAGCTGTGCGCGTCCGCGGGTCTCTTTGACAACCGAAAGCTCGGAGCATGCGGGGTAGAGCGATGGTCAAATTGAGTGGGCCGTCAAAACTGACCTCTTCGGCTGACTGCAAACGTTCCTCAGACGCACAGGCCACTGTGCGGAAAAAGGGATACAGCAAGGTTCCTCTTAGAAGTAGATGCGAGAATATTGGCGTGTACGCCCTTGGGCCCTCCCGAAAGTGACTCTCCTGACCCACGAAGGCGTGCGTTTGTGGCGATCATGCAGCTGTGGTGTGCGATCCAAAGTGAGACGGACGACGCCCGCCGCAGCCACACACCCGGAAAACACTACAGACAGCGAAATGTATATATCTCTGGCTCAGGTGACAAAATAAAAACAGCACAAGTAGCCTTCCGGGCTGGCGCACCACGAATTCTGCGAGCTCGTATCAATCCTACTCATAACCTCCAGCGCTCAGGGCACTATTCTCAGAACCCCACAGACTGCAGCAACGCCGACGGTAGGATTGATCGTGGGCGTACGCAGAAGACCTGGGCTGAGCACCACGTTCACAGCACATCACTCCCACCCGCCTCGCAGGTATTCGTAAATACGCGTGTAGCAGCTGCGCGTCAGGCTAGAGAGATATGCTCATTATTAAACGCTTTAACTTTATGGTTTGCAGTTATACTCGCAGAGCTCATGAGCACCCCCTCACCTGCAAAGAGGTATACAGTTTTAGTAGGCTGCGCTCGAAGCACTCGAGAACGTCTTTACATTCGCGCTCCTCCTCGCTCATTTCTTCATTCGGCACGAACTGACCTATTAGCGACCCTGTAGGCGTGGCTTCAGGTAGCCTTCTCACAATCACATCACCTCCTGCGCCCACCCGCGGCGAGTCGTTCCCCGTGTGAGAGGCGGACCAGCCACGTCTGGAACAGCCGTGCGCATTGCAGTGTGCTGGCGGCTCGAGCGGCTGCGCTGATGGTTCACACGGGGGCCTGTTTAAGTTACCGAGTGACGCAGATCTTCTCATGCCACTTCTCGTTATTGCCGACGGCCTGCGTCTTTCTTCAAGGACGCCACAGCTTCTGGGCCGACGACACGAGATGTTGCGGAAGAATCTGGCGCCCAGCGCAGTTTCGACGTCGGGGCCAGAACCGGTGAGGCCTGGGTCTCTGCTACGGCTTCCGCTGTCTGCGAGTGAGCTGCAGGGCCTAGCGCTGCTCTTGTTAGCACCCGTCTCCAGCGTCGGGAGCTCTCGTTTACTGCTACTTTCGCAGACGCCCTCGCCATGACCAGCGTCTGCGCTGGCGGTACACACTGCGCTGCAGCAGGTGCTGCTCTGAAACGAGGACTGCGCGGGGAAGCAGCGAGACGGATCCTCAATATCAGGTGCCATGATGGCTTTCGAGGATCCCGTGGCAGTGAACTCAGTGGACGAAGTAGGACTGCTGGACCCATGGCATGCGTTCCGGTGCGGCTCGCCCACCGTGACGTCGTCTGCAGGAATACTTTGTGAATCGTCCCTTGAACCGTTTGTCCTACACTTGTTTTTTCTACACCCGGCAGCAGACGTGGGCTCCAGGCGCGTCTTGTAGAGGTGCTGCAGCAGAGAACGTTGACTACGAGATGTCTCGCCAGTAGCTGGTGCGGCGGACTCCTCGAGCATGTCGCTGGCAGCAGCGCAACCGCATCTTCTATCAGAATATGCTGCCGTAGGCCTTACAATGGACGGGCCATTTGAGGGCTGTGCTTCAGCCTCGAGCCCCTGTACGTGACACGCGGTTGTCGGTTCCCCATCAAGCGCCGCTGATTCTTCGAAGTCCCCTCCACAGGTCGACAAGCGCCGTTCGTTTCGCGCATTCCGCTCAGAAGTCCGGTGCCTTCCGCATCTCTGCGAACGCACGCGTGGAAGGGTGCCCACGGACGGCGAGACCGCCACGCAGAGGAAGCCTTGCGGGTGGCTCGCTTGGCTGTGCGGCGCTGTCGCTCTGCAAAAGGTTGCCTGGTTTGGCCCGTCTTTTCCGGAGGTGACAGACGACTGCTCTGAGTCTTCCTTCCGTCCTTCAGGCACGCTGCGTAGCTCTGCTTGGGCGTGGAAAAATGCTCCCGGAGCATCTGGTGCGACAGGTTGAGGAGCCCGTCTATGTCTGACACAGGTGCCACCATTTGCTTCATCTCCTAACTCTTTTCCCGCAAACTCTCCGACTGCGCTGTCTGTTGCGCTTGCTCGCGATTTCCTGTCAAGAGCAGGCGACAGCACGGTCTTCCCCCGCGGTGTCTTTGTATTGTGTGTGAGGGGGGGGCCTGCGGATTGCAGAAGGTGACGCGCTTCCTGTGGAGGGAGCCGCCGGGCCACTGTGTGGCACAGTCGTCGAAGGACGTCTAAAGGGGACCAGCCATTAGCGCACGCTTCGTCCGGCACTTCCTCTGTACTTGAAGGCTGTGTGTGAAGCTCAGGTGGTTCTGCTGCCGCTCTGCGTGCGCCGAGAGCGCTGGCTGGCCCTGCTCTCCAAGCAGGCTGTTCTTGCGGTGAGTCTCCGCGTTCTATTTGGCGCATTAGCCACGTGGCTGCATGGCCCGTGCAGACTGTGCATTCCAGTCTGGTGCTGGGTCTACGCGTTGCCAAGCCTTGACACACGCCAACTTCCTGCTCTCCATGTACGAACTGTCTTTGCCGTGTTGCCGCCTCTTCGATAGATAGTTCTTGCGTTGCAGTAAGCTCCGCATCTCTTTCGAGGAAATCCTCGAGCCACCCGGAAAAGCGCTTGAGATCAGCAGACAGAGCTGCTGTCTTTGTAGTGGCAAGAAGAATCAGTGAAAGAACCCTGAGACGGGTGGTAACATCGCCGCATCGGGTGTCCTCGACAGCGGCGCTCTCTTCCTCGGTTTGTGCGTCTGGTGACGGTGGGAATGCTCCGTGAGGCGGAAGGGAGCTTCTCGGGGGGGCCTCGAGCGTTTTGAAATAAACCTTTGCAACAGGAAAGCAATTGAGATTGCGACAACAGAGAGTGTAACGTCTTCCACGGAGTACAACACAGGAGAGGCGACGTTGTCATGGGTTCGAAAGTCGTCACACGTGAGCGCAGTCATCGTGTGCGAATTTTTGATCTTTAACGAGGTGGAGCACGCTCACGCGGCGACCACGATCATCCAGCGACTCCAGTCCGAGCTTGTTTTTATTCCGGCAGGGAGTATCTACTCGGTGCATGGACTCCTACTGTTCAAGAGCCATTCCAGAGGCACGTCCTGTTAACCGTTCACACCCTCTGTGATAGTGCGAACCCCACGTTGTATACTATGCTGCTTATCGGTTCTACATCTCCGCGGGGCCTCCAGACATAAATACGCTGGATTCGGAATGATCCGTGTTCATCTTTAGCCAGCAAGACTAGTGCCCAATGATCCACGTTGAGCAGTTGAGAATTGAATGTGACCTAATACCCACGTACACGCAGATCATTCGGACACTACCATCCCTCCCGGACCAACAACACCCCACCCCAAACGCCGTCGTACGCAGTTCTGTAGGTGGTGGCCGACCGACGCACAGCGGTTACCAGGAAACCGAACTAACCACGGCGTATGAGTTTCGAAGGAAGGTGAGCCGACCTCTGGCGGCCTCGGGATTGTGGCAAAAGACGTAGGTAGGTTGTGAAACGCTCTCGTAGCAAGTGACATTATTGTGTTCGCTGTTCATGAACGCCGATTGTTCCTTGGCTCAACAAACCTTTGTCGCCGACTGTAGAATATTCATAGCTTGGCAATTTGTAATCCTGCAAAATAACCCCGCGCAGGCGACATCGCACGCAGTGGGGAGCGTATTGGGCGGCAAACCTTTCCCGTCAGAGCAAGTATCAAAAGCAGGCGCCCGAGGAGGCCCTGCAAGGGACAAAAAGACAGCCGATTCGTTCTTATGCAGTGACCAACAGGTGGCTCGGTTTGCGGTGCAGGAAGTAAGAAGTTGGACTGCCCTTCACTGTCCAGCCGTTTCGAAGGCTGATAGGGCATGCTTATTGCTGTGGTAGTCCTTGCGGGACGCTGACAAATGGAGTCTACGTGACACAGCCCCTACGAGAGAAGCAAGCAGGACCGTCATGCAGTCACCGGAGTGGCGAGAGTGCGAGGCCATGGGTGCGTCGGCCGCCGACATGCGTGTCACTCATGCTTCGACAGTAAAAGGTTGTCTAATTGCGGCAGCTAGCCCGTAGCTTCCTCTTGCCCTTTGTTGCTTAAAGTATTTGTAACGCTTGCTAAAGGGCCGGGACAACTAAGTGCTGCATTTACCTCGAGTGACAGAGGAATGCCCCAAGGATACGTTCGTCCACTGCTTGCATGGGCGGCCGCGTAGCTTCGAATGCAGGGAGAGCTTCCGAGAGGATGGCATCAACTGCGATGGCAGCACAGACGCGAGGCCGGTGTTTCTGGGTCGGATGCAATCCAAACCAAGACGGTCATCTGCTTGAACGTCCAGTTTGACTCTTTGACCTACATGCAAGCCTTATACCCCACTTCTACTCCTGCGTCACCAATCTGGAAAAAATGTTGTAGCTCTAGCGTACAGGTATAGTGCGCATCCATGAACTATTTGATGAAGCAACAAAGAGGCTGCGTGTACAGAAGGGCGCTTACAGCTCAAGTTTATTTCCCCGGCCGTAGCCGTAGACAGTAGCTCAGCAAAAAGAAGAAGTAGATCCCCTGCTCCTGGTCGCGGGTACGGTAGTGCTTCAACCGTATCACGACTACTGTGGCCGTCTTGGTTGTTCTTGCCCTTGTTGGCCCACGGCCTACGAGTCTTCGCGGTGAACACGTACGGTGCTTCTTCCCATCGAAGAACTCCGCTTTTCCACAAGAGCGGCACAAGGGCCTCTGCGAAGGGGCGAAGACAACGGTCTTGCCCGTCGTCTTTGCCTCCCTCCGCTCTGCCGGCGAGGCTACTGCCGAATGCCATGTTCGGCTGCATAGCCTCTCGCAGCAAGCTGCGGAGCTCGTACTCGGCAGCGTTCCTCACCGCCGCGCATCTGCGAGGCACGAAGAGCGCACGCAGTCAGGTGTCTCGTGCGTGCCACGCGCTTGAAAATTTTCCTAGACCTTCCCTTACAGCCCAGAGCAATTCGCTGGCTGTCACTACGAACAAGAACGATACTCTGAATTCTGAGAGACTACTAGCACGCGGTATTCCGGCAAATGCACTGCAGATCTCGTGAGCTGTCGCCAGGCGCTCGCAGCAGACAAAGCGCACGTGTACTGCAGGCAGACGCTCATCTAGACCCCGGAACGAAGGCACCCGCTCACATTAGCACCTCACACTCTTGGCACAAACGGGGCAAACTGCGTATCTGGCGTCTGGCCGCATGAACGTGCAAAGCTAGAAATGAGATATATGCATCCAGTTACAGCCGGAGAGGTCGGAGCACACTTGTAGGCGCAAACATACACGTTTGTTTCGCCGCCCCCATACCCCTGTAGATACTCCCCACCATGGTGACTAGTACCCCGCTCCGATGTCAACGGGCGCCCTGAACGTCTCGCTCTCTTCTCATCTACTTTTCAATTTGTCTCACCTGTGCCTTGCGGCTGTACCCATGAACGCCAAGCTGCGCAACACTGAATGGTGCACGCTTGAAGAAGCTAGACGTTCCGTTCCTTTGCTTTGGCTTTGCGTCGTTGCGCCACAGAGAGCAGGAAGAGCTGGGCCGCAGAGGCGCAACACGTCTCCCGACAGATGGATGTAGGCCACCGCCGCATAGTTGCACACGTTGTTGCTGCCCGATAGCATTCATCCGGAGACTCGCAGTTCCATGTCTTCGTCGACAGTGTTGCTTCACGGGCTCGCCACAAGAAAGACGAAAGCTTAAGATACAGCGCAAGCACCTCTAGCTCATCACCAATAGCGCCACAGGTAGAACCTTCGAGTCAGTGTGGCCAGAAGCATGGAGCCAACACGGTTTCACAGCAGGTGGGGCTGTGCAGCACTGTACTGGACTCGGCTGTAAGCTCTCAACTACGGCACAACGGGTACGTAAGTCTAGGCAGAGCGAAGCAGACATGATTTTGGTCTCAAGGTAAGACGCCGACTTCCACTGCGACGTCAGTAACACTGACAAGGAAGGAGGATAACGGACTCTTCACAGCCGCTCGGGCTGCTCTTTAGTCTGCGCAAGTTCTGCCAGGCCACACGTACAGAGCCATCGAAGACGTTCCACTCTCAACATACTGGGCATTCTGGCAGGCGACTGCGTCGGACGACGGCCGTCCTGGATGAAGCGGCGGGCTGTGAAGGCATGTGCCGCGTTGAGACATCGTTATCCGTGCGCGAAGACTGCTGGTCTCTGCCGGGTTTCGAGTGCCGTGATGCATGAAATGGCTCGCGGTTCCGGCGCGTGAGGGGGGAGCGCGCGGGAGTAAGAACCACATTGAGTCTTTAGTCACGTGGGTATATCGAGACAGTTTTTATTCATGTGGGCACTGGACTGTGCGTGCTTTTACCTCGTCAGCGCTGAGTCTCAGCATACGCAGGGCAACCTCAGTCCACTGATCTCTAGCCTCCGGCGCGCAGCACGAAAGTCCTTGTGCTGAGATCTCTGTGCTGCGCCTTCCCTCATCGATGACACGTGGCGGTCTTTGACATCACGTGCAACAGCCGCCTGCACACGTTACAGTACGCTTCCTCGTCTCCGTACGTCGCAGTGTGAAGCCACCCGTCACACACTACCGATGGATCGGCGGCGGCCACGAGGTACAGCAGACGCGCGGCATCCTGCGCCAAGACATATTTAACGATCGGGGGCGAGTGGTTTTTTGTCTTTAAGTCTCCTTCTTCTCGTGCCGCGCACGCAGAAGAACGTGTTCTCTGGCATGCCTCTTCGCGCGTCGGACCCGCACATTGTTCATACGGAATATCGGCTGAAGCAGTTGCCGCGAGCAGTGCGCCGAAGCAGGTCATCCGACTCGCGAGTCCGCGAACGCAAACCATCGAAACGCATTGTAGCCCCGTGGACCTGCGCGCTCAAGACGCTGCATAGAATTCCCCAGTACCTCGATGACTGTGTGGCGCAAGTCGTCAGGCGTGCACGTGATTCTTCAAACACGCTGAACGCCGGTCCAGTAAACCCTGGTAAATATGTGGGTCGGTATATCGGGTAAACAATTACCACAGGCAGCTGAAGCCCACGCCCGACGGCGGCGGGTCTTTGAAGCACTTTACGAGGACCGTGGTGGCGCGGATGCCGAAAAGTGTGCCTGGACAGGAAACATTTTGTGAATCCCTAATGCATGGAACAGTTTGAGAGACGTGATATCCACACGGGCCGGCACGGTGATCTACTATAGAGACATTTTGATATCGGTACGGGCGTGCAAGGACAGCAAATACGGTAGACGGCGCGTCACTGGCTGAGTCCGCAGTATCGAGGCTTCGTAGACAGCGTGGTGTTTAAAGGCGTTGAACACTGGTCTGGTCGCATCTGGTTGTACATACTTGAGGCGTCTGCACTACGTATGAACACCTCACGTTCTATACGTCGGAGGTGACGAGCTCGCAGCTACGCCGCGCTGATGTATGCTGGACACACTGTCGTGCCGCACCTTCTTTGAAATCTCACGAGCGGAGGCAATTGTCCAGATCCCGGCAACGAGCTGACCGAGCTTCTGGATAGGGGCAGGGCCGCATTCTGTTGATAGAATGCCCTTCAGCCAAGAACGTAAACTATCCAAAAGGGAGTGAAGTATGTGTCTCTGATAGTTCGGAAGTCTTTGAATGGGGCTGCGAGTTGGAGCTTGCAGCTCCTCTTTAGCTAGCATCTGCCGCATTGCCACCCAGACGCCGCGGTTCCCACCCACAATCCGAGCAGCCTCGCGTGAGCTGAGACCGAAAGCCTGCTGAAAGGATTCTTTTATAAAATCTTCACACGTGCCTGGGTTGCCGGGCGCGAAAACGCAGTGCACGATGTCACGGCGTCTGGAATTTCAGCCGCAGAGACCGCGTCAGTGGCAGTCCTCTCGATAGGAAAACAGCCTCCGCAAGAGCGCCACTGGAATGGGCCGCGCGTGCACAGGGACTGTTCGCAGGACTCAGGCTGTCAGCTAGTGCCCGCACTTGACCCCTTCTGTCGCAGCATGTCTCGCATGATGGCGCCGCCCCGTACGATGGATCCTCGACATTTGTCTGTGTTGGCAAGATACCACTGCTGATCACCTGCGGCGAAACAGCATTCACTGTAGCGCGGGCTACGCAGAACGTACAGCCCCCGTAGACACTGAATCCGCGATGAGGCTCTGAATTTGCTCTGCTGCTTGAGGCGAAAGACGTTGAAAACGTGACTGAGCACTTTCGGTGCATGCACGGTGAGTCAGTGCGGCGAAAGGAGCCTTCGCGCACGTGCTGATAATCGTGGCGGGCTGCCCGCTTTCCGCGCGATTCGGTCTTTGTTTTTCAGACGTCGGCCCCGTACAGCAGGACTTCGCTGCTGAGCAGCAAGCGTCCCATTGAGAGCTGTCCTCTGTTCTCACGCTGCCTCTGAGGCGAGCACTCGGACCGTGATTTACGCTGCGTTCGCCCTGCAAAGCTTCCCGTAGATCCTCTAGAGTAAGGAACTCGTGTATTTCACTGCATGACGCCACCCCCTGCATCCCGCGGGCGACCGCTGATTTGGCTAGGCCTTCAGCGTCCTCTGCCTCGCGTCCGCGTAGAACGGCTGTGAAAGCCTGCGTGTTGGGGGAAGCTCCGCTCTGGTAACACTGCGTCTTTCTTCCATGAGGCTTCCATACGCTTTTGCATCTGCGCTGCTGCTGAAGAGTCCCCGGGCGTGAGCTTGAGCCGGAGGCTGGGGGCACGCCCCTCGAGTTCCCCGTACGGTTTTACGCGACTCGACTCCACCGCCCTCACGGGGATGGCAGAATCATCCGATGACTGAGCTGTTGATGACCGAAGACTGTTGTCACTGCGCCCTGATAGAGCCCACCCCACCTACGAAAGAGGATCCACCGCCGCTGGCGCAGTCGGTCCTAGGCGGCAGCGACGTTACCATCCTGGCTATCTGTTCTACAGGCGAGAACTCATTCCGGGACCTACAGGGGTACAGTTCATATGCGAGAGCGCACCTGAGCCTCACGGCCTGCCTGTCTGTTTCAGCACAAAGCTGTTTTTAGCAACCTGTTGCAAGCGCAAGCTCTGGGGTGCTCACCGTGGCTGAATGTTTTCACTCGGCGAACATCGACCGGGTGCAGATCCGGTGCTCGTAGCTTCATAACGGAGTACTACGAGAGTGAGGGGAGCCTCACCGCATCGTAGGGCGTCTTCAGTGAGCTCTACTACGAGGAGGCAAGCGGCACGAGCAAAGGACTGGAGAAGTGCGGGCGGGCAGCGCTCCTACGTAGCCTACCGGCCGCCAGCGCCGCTGCACAAGAAGCGGGGTGGACGGTGTCAGGGTTCTGTAGCAGCGGATCGGAAGAGTTTCTGCAGCAGGCGCGCCCATAATCAGCCCCCTGCACTCGTTGGGCACGGCGCCCTGTGCTATAGGATCGCGTGCGTTATAGACATATATATTTGGCTATAGTCTCCTGCTCGCGAATATCGACTCGTTCTACGAAGCAACCGTGAAGAGGTAGTGCTTAATGCCACTCTCGTCTGCTCTGATGCCTTGAGGACGTATCTCTTCGCTCCTATCGCTGCTGTTGACGTGGCGAGGCCAACAGCAGCTGAGGTCTTCAGGGTCCCTGCGCCGGTTAAAGATAGTCTGCAGAACCTGAGGTTTTTCTCTAAAAAGGCCTCGGTAACAGAACGGGCAACGGCCTCCAGAACTGTTGAACATTACGGAGCGCTCGTCGAGCTCTTACGGATCCCCTACGCTCCCGGCGGCTCGCCGCTTGCTCCTGTCAACCTTGCGATGGACGCAGCGGCGAGAAAGCTGCGCGAAGGCGGACGATCCGCAGTCGAAATGCTCCGTGAATCCGACGAGCAGAATGCAGTGCCCAGCGGAAGAGCGCCTGCATCCAGACGCGCAGATGGCAGCTGGCGAGCCGCGTTCGCCGGCCGACGGTGCCCCCGCCACTATCGAGTCGTCGGGTAACGTTTCGTGTCTACTACACGAGTTTTCAAAGAGAATGAGTCTGAGCACACACTCAGCGCGGACTAGTCGATTGCCGCCAGGGCCAAGGCGGTGCAGCCACCACGTGGACGCGAGGGCGCTGCGCTGCCCTGTCGAGGCAGCAAACGCGAATGCGAGGAGTGGTCGCTTCGATGGAGTGTCTTGCTGATAGTCTACTGCTGAGACTGTTTGCCGCTGTAGTGCCTACCGGGAGACCGCAAGCGGCTGTTTAAGTTGCGACGACAATGATACGCTTTCCGAAATAGGTACTTCTCAAGATGCCAGACCGTTTGCAAAAGAAGCGACGGGTGATAGCGTCGCGCCAATGTGGCGGGTGGAGGCTGCATACCACGCTTTTTCTGTAATGGGCGCGGCACAAGTACCCTGCTTCCGAGTTTTGCTGGCGACACCCAGTGTTCTCTGAAAGTGCGGTGTGCTCCCGAGGTGCTAAACTCGTGCAAGCGCCGGCTCAGAGGGAGGCTGGCGGGCCTGGGCCCTAATGTGGCTGAGCCCGAGACGCGTTCCGACGCCCTACAGACATACAAACGTGTTGCATTGAATCACACAAATCCTACGCGGTATCGAATCAGCAAGCAGTGGGTGAAGGGCCTCGACGTGGGTCTGGAGCCCGCGTTCTGCAGCTCCTGTGTTCATCCTATACTGCTACCGGCGGAGACTGTTGCCCTTTACATGACTCAACTCCCGCGTAGCGAGGCGCACTTTGCCGTTGCCACCATGGCGCGTGCGCAGGATGCCACGCGGCACTCTGCACACATCTCATGGTTCGAGACATAGAAAAACCGACATCGAAACTCGCCTGCGCGTTCTATTGGAAGAATTGATGCAACATCTGGCCTCGGTAAGGGAACGCGGCTTTACAAAGCAGCAGCGCACGCCCCCGCTCTCATGCTGTCCAGAGGCCAGAGCGCCTTCTGCGCCTGAGGCACGCTGGCCTATAACTTGAGTAATATATCGCAGAAGAAGCAGTCTCTTGCGCCGACGCGTCTGCCTGCGGCAGCGCTCTGAAACACAGAAGTGTACCGCACACCGGAGCAGCGACGTCCTCTGAACAGGTTCGGCCAGAGGAGGGGAGCCAACCGGCACGGTCGCCGTTTGCCTGTCGGTGGTCTGAAGGTGCTCCTGCGAATGCAGATGACTTGCGGGAACGGCAGGCTCCGTTCGTGATAGCTGCGCCGGGACGCGCGCGCGTCGCCTATCTCGCGGCGGCACCGGAGCTCCAGTATATGCGAGATTGAATCGAGTATGTGACAGAGGAGGATCCGTTCTCCCCACACTATTGCAGCGTCTCTCCTACACCTTGGATAACATAGGAGCGCGTACGAAAAAAGACCCAGGCAAAGGGCCGCATACCGTTGAAGGACAGTTCGCTATGAAGGCCTGGCACAGTGTGCCGCGCGAGGCCTGCTCCTGTGTGAGGAACCCGTGGTACACTCTCCGAGAGGTTCTCGAGACGGGAGGCCGTCGTCAAGTCGATTCTCGCCGTGTCAACTACACGGGTCTTGTACCTCGTACGCTGGTGTGAGGAAACCCGTGGTACACTCTCCGAGAGGTTCTCGAGACGGGAGGCCGTCGTCAAGTCGATTCTTCATGCAACGCACCCGCCTCCGGACGTCGGCTGGCTTCAAACGCGCGTATATATATGCCCAGGGCGTACGGCAGGGGCGGTCGACACCGGGCTCAGGCAAATCAAGCAGATCGGAATTTCAGACACAACCAGAAGGTGTGCAGTAGGCTCCGCGGTGGCGTGTACTACAGGCGTCCTTCATCGTCCTCGTATCGTCGAGAAATCCTGCGCCGGTGGTCGCCTGCGTACATGCGCACGGAGGTCGTGGGGCTGCGTGTGCGCGCCGCCGCGGCTGCTGTCGCGAAAAAAGTAAAAGCGCATCGAGTATACGGGCCCTTGCATCGACCTGCGGACACCCCGTACATTCAAAGTCCGAGCGTCCAGCTCTAATAGAAATAAAGAGCTTTAGGCCTCGTTGTGTGGCCCGAACTCTTGTACTTCTCCATCCGTTGCCTTCAGTGTCTTCAATGGTCTAGCCGATGGGCCGGCTACTACTCAGCGCGTGGAAAAAGATGCTGCAGTTTTGGGTCGGCCCTGGTCTAAGATGATGTGCGTGGTTGGGAGTTCATCATCCGCAAGCAGAACGAAGCAGCAATGTGTGCATGCCGTGCGCATCACATGCCGCCGCAGCGCACTCGACACATGTCCCACGACGCCTCTAGAATCCTACTCCGGTGTTCCTCAGCTTCAAAATCACCTTGCTACATTACATACACCGGCGACATCCGGCCTTGCATTGGTTGCAGCCCCTTACGCATCTGCTCACAAAGCGTCTGCCGTGTGCTCATTTTGAAGCCTCAAGGGGTCGTGCTGATCCAACTACAGTTCCACTCAACCTAACAGGCTCTCGGCATAACCCGCACAGATGGGCATGCTGCTGCCCTCATGGGGCGAGAGCCGCACGTAGCCTCCTGGATCTCTCTTCCAAAAAGAGCGGTACCCGGGTGCCACCGATGCTTAGAACACCGCTACACTCTGCTCTTCCACGTGATGGTGTCATAGTACGTATATCCTCTCATGAAGCACACTCTGGTCTTCCACGTGCTGGTGTCATAGTACCCATATATACTGTCAAAAATAGAAGTCGGCGTTCTTCTCTGATCGTCGTAGCGCAAGGTCGGCCACTGGAGATGCTGTGACTCGATGCAAATTGGCTATTCCCTTACAGGGACAGCGTTACAACATGCAAACAATCACCGTTGCAAGGGCTCTTTCCTGCCAGGTGTGCAGTTGATGCAGCAAACGTGAAGCAGATCCGACGAGGACTGTTATCAAGTCTCATAAACGGCCAGGGTCCATATGGAGCCTAGCGGGTGCTGATCCTCCGTAGCAGGGTACACTAATTGGTACGAGCGTAGCGGTAGCTACTCTCGCGGGGACGCTCTTACGGCATGGAGTCTGTGAGTAGCCACCTGACTCTCATGTAAAGGCGAGTGTTCTTTCATTTTTTCCTGCAGCCTCAGTGACCTTTACTGTCTTCTAACGGCATGACACGCGCAGTTGAAGTACTGTTGCGGGGCAGCATGCACAATTCGGGAACTGTCACCTGCCATGACGTGACACTTGCTCCCCGTTAGCAACGGATTCGCGCAGAAAGCCGCAAAAACGCGAACGCAACTGCTTTCTCATCTCGCACACAGCGTATGCTGCACATCTTACCGATCAACGCTCATTCGTAGACCGTGTTGGCCTCTTATGCTGGACTTGTGCGAGTACCTAGAGTACTCTCGAATCCGTAGCCGAGGAAACTGTCTTCTAAACCTGAACGTCCGTAGGAAAGGCATGCGCGGGTGCTAACTCTCCCAGTTCGTAGGGCATGAAGTGGATGCTGCTGTTAACTCTCTCGGGCACCTGGACGGAGAGTGTTACACAACAGAGCTTCGTACACAGGCTCTCACTGAGGCAATACGAGATCGGACTATGGCATCGTTGCGCCCGGCTGCTGAGTGGAAAACATTCCGCCTACGGCGTGTTCCACACGGCCGCGGCACACACAATAGTGAGTGTCGTGGAAACTCAGGCAAAGCTTTGTTCCGCCACCGTTGAGTACTGGGGCCATGCGCGCTCTCCGAGTGTCAGATAGGGTGGCAAACGTAGCTACGCAAAAGCTGCTTATCACAACCGCTCCAGGTTCATGCAGGTCTGTTGAGCAGTACACTGACTGCAGTGGGGGTCTACTACGCTACCTAGAGTCCTTCTGTATTCCTGAGCCAGCGCCCGCGTAGATACTCTTGCGTGTGGCGCCAGCTGTTCGGTGACAAGTTGCGGATAAATTATACAGAGGGTCCATTAGGCGCCGACGCTATGCAAATCTTCGACCTGGATCAAACAACAGTCAGCGGCGACGAGAATGCACATTCACGATGTGCATCACAGAGGCGTCGGTGGCGAGCCCGCTGACGACTGCTGCAGGGTGGCTCGCTCACGCGTAATTCGGTGACACGCACGCTCGCACGTATTTGCAGAGCAAGGATACAAGGATGCAGGCACGGAGGTGTGGATCACATATCTGCGGAGTAGAAACCGCTAGATGCGGACACCCAGGCATACAGGTGCATCCCCGGAGATAGCGCAGAAGCATCGTGACACAGGTAAAACTGCCATTAGGTACTACTGCATGAGTAAGCAGGTGGTAGTCACTGGCGCGCCCATACCTCTTCACATGATAGCGCAAAACCCCGAGGAGATAGCGGTGGCGGTCTGTAGAGGCGTCTCATGCAGGGCCTCCACCTGTGGCGGCTCTGGCCTCTTTCCGGTTATCTTATTAATCTGCGCGTATACTGAAGAGTCCGCAGCGAAAGGTGCTGTGCAGAGCTGTCTTCTTCGTTACTTAGTTCGACATCCCGCTCACTACGCATGTCAGAGGACTACGCCGCTTGTTTCTTAGCCGTGGAAGAAGATGCAGTCGCGCACACGGGTGTCTGCGTATGTTCGCCCTTACGCTGCTCAGTCTGCCGTCACTCCTCGCGAGAACCGCTGTGACGGAGAAGATGCAGTCGCGCACACGGGTGTCTGCGTATGTTCGCCCTTACGCTGCTCAGTCTGCCGTCACTCCTCGCGAGAACCGCTGTGACGGAGCTCACGAGGTGAGTGTAGTGCGTCTGGTTCGCGACACTTTCCACGCCTGCAAGAGTGTAAGCTACATCACGTCGCACACTCCGCTTCTTCCAGCTCTAGGTGTTTCTGTGGTGCCGCCGGCGCCTTCCCTGCTGTTGCTGTTGCTGCCTCACTGCGACTAAAGGTGCTCCTGGCATCAAGTCTGGCCGCTGCGCGACTGGTAGTAGCTTCACTGGCACGTCTGCTACAGGATCTCGGCTTCTAGCAGTTGTAGGTATTCTGTGTTGCTGTTGGCCCCTTCCCTGCTGCTGCTGATGCCGCCTCACTGTACTACAGAGACCGCCTGGCATCAGTTCCAGCTGCCGCTACCCCTGCTTGCAGCTGTGAAAAACTCCCTGCCCCTGTACCTCGTCCTAAAGCTGTCAGATGTGCTTGCTTAACGTAAACGCCACGCTCGGCGGCTGCGCCAGACCGGGTTGTCGTCTATGTGGTGGGCTACAGAAAGGGGAAGGCCCACTACAAATTCGTTAGCAGTGCTCCGCATCTCCGAAGAAGCAGCCCCAAGTGCCGTGTGCGGTTCCAACATTCCCTTGTTCAGGCCTCTGCGTCCCTCTAATTCATGCTACAGCTTCTAGGCGTGCTTGCCTAGTGGCCATGTCAGGCCTGGTAGGGGCGCCATACCGGGCTGTCCTTATATTGTGGTTAGTCTATTATAAACCCGCTAACGATGCTCGGTACACCCATCAAAGCAGCCACGAAGCCGCGGGAGTTTCCAGATCTTCTTTGTTCATATCTCTGTGTCTCTCTAATTGCTCCCACATCTGCCAGATGCGTTTGCCTAGTGGCAACGTCAGGCTTTGTGGCAACGCCTGGTGGAAGTGTCCTCTTTTATATTGTGAGCAGTCCACTATGTTTCTTTTGCTATGCTCAGTAGCTGCAAGGTAGCACCCACAAGCGCCGCTGTGCCTGCCAGTCTTTCTTAGTTCGCCCCTTCGCGTCTTTCTATTTCCTGCTACAGCTGCGAACTGCGTGTGCTTCTCGGCAACGCTTGGCCGGGTTGTGGCCAATACTACTATGGCGTGGAAGACGGCAGTCCGCTGCGCTTCCACTAGCAGTGCTCAGCAGCTTCAACGCAGCCAGAAGCGCCGCTTGATCTCCCAGTTCTTCTTCTTTCGCCCCTCTGCAGACGTCGGGGAGGGTTCCCGTGCTATGAGCCATATATATAGAAAGGTGTTGTTACAGTTGTATGGGCCTTCCGTTAGCCTTTTTTATTACTGTCACCCTCGGTAAAAGCAGAAGTCTACTGTAACGTGCTATCGTGTGCGAACGCGTAAGTCAAAACAGAGATATGATGAAAATAGATGTATCTGTATGTTTCTCTCTTTATGTATACTTATGTGTATACACCTTTACATAATTATGTATGCGTACGTGACCCGATGACACGTAGCACCGCAGGAGGCTGGCCGGCAGCTTGGCAGCTTTTTATACGACCGCACCGCCGTCACGCACAAGTGATGCGGATGATACCTTTTGTAGACTTCCGGGCAGACTAATGCTTACTTGTTCACAAACTCCACACCATGCAGGCTTTGAAAAAGCTGCACAATTCTCAGGTCCTTCCCTCATTCTCCTTATAAGAACACCATACAGATATACACGTATATGCACACGTACATACATAAACATATTCATATATATACGTACATATAGAAGTATATACAACTACAAGTGTACGTATGTATACATATAAGCAGATACATGCAAGTATATATGCGTATTTTCATCCGTGTAGCAGGGGCCACTCTGTAGTGTGTCGGTAAAAAATCCCTCTCCACAGACTTCACTGCAGGCAAATGCATTTCACCTTACATAAAATCGCGCCTTCCGCTTTCGGGTTCGCGTCTGCAGTAGTCCGGTAAATCTTTATTTCTGAGGACTTTCCTGCAGGTGAGCTCTCTTTTTTTCCAATGTGAAGTTCTATAGACCTGTTGCTGCGACCGGTGTGCGGCACACCCGTAGATCCACATCCCTACGCGTGCATGTACCGAGCGACATGCTGTGCCTGTCTCGGTGGACGGCTACTGGCGAAGGCGGGCTCTGCTGCAAATTTACCCGTTTTCTTCCACGTAAGATTGCACCGTGCTCTTGCAGCGATCAGTGTGTGACAAATTGGTAGACATCCACTTCTATGAGTGCGTGTTGGTATGTCGCCTGCCTCGGCGGACGGTCACCAGGTTCCCTGTATGTACTGGACGAGGCTCGAGCCGCTTTCTGTGCGGTGCGCAGGGCCCTCCTGCAAATCTTGCTGTCCTGTGGACTTCTTCCCTGTCAACCGCCGCAGGTTATCTGTCTATCTATCAGTCTGTCTGTATGTGTATATATATGTACACAAGTAGAAACTCTTCTTCTTCTTCGCGCTACAATTATTTTAGTTCTACTGGTGGTCCGGTCCTGATGTGTACTAAACGGTGATGCAAAGGCTGAAGCGGCTCCCGCTGCGCTGCCTGTGGCCTTCCTGCCATTTACTTGCTACCTCTGCGGACGTCGTCATTACCATTCGCCCTGGCTATTCTTCTTCCAGCCACATCTACTTCTTCAAAGTAATTGGCGGTCCGGTATTCGTGTGAGGCTAGCGTTTTTTCCTTCTCCTGCCCTTCTTCCCGCCGAGACTGCGGAAGTATCCAGCAGTATGTACGTCTCGTTCAGGATTTAGTTATACGGCACTTCTGAGGACTTCTTCCTTGTTCGTAGCTAGTGTTTCTCCTCTCTGAGCTACATCGACGTCTCGGAATTTCCTGGTGAGCCCCAATCGCTGGTAGGCGGGCGCTCTCTCTACTCCCGCTCTCCCTGCGGCGGAGACCGCGTAAGACGTGTCCATCTGTACGTACGTCCCTCTTCAGAATTTACTTGTACTTGCTATACTTGTAAACTCCCTCCTTACCAATCGCTGTCCTATTCCCCCTTTTCAGCTGCATCTACGTCTTTGAATTTATCGGTCCCGCTCAATCGGCGCTAGGCACAGCTTCCTGTTCTCCCCCGCTCTTCCTCCCGCCGAGACTGCATGGGTGTCCCGCTGTACGTACTTCCTGTTTATAATCTGCTTGTACTTACTATACCTGTGTCTTTCTCCTTGCCAGTCTCTGTTGTTGCTTTTTCACCAGCTACGCCTAATTCTTCGAATTTGGTAGCGGTCTTGTATCGTACATATGTATACGTCTATATGTGTGCTGGCTGGCCATACATATATGGCTGGCGCCGTCTTGTCTCCCGCGGTGTCCTTCCTCCCGCCGGGTCCGCATTAAACTCTTCCGGTTTGTAGGTTGGTCGAAAGGAATTACCCGTGTACTACTACTAAGACTGCTGATATTCTTCTCTAATCCCTTCTGTCTCTTCTACTACCGCTACCATCCCTCTTCTACTACTGCGTCTACGACTCGTTATTAAGAATTTGACTGTACTAGCCGCGGTTGTTGCTTCTCTTCAGCTGCGTCTATTCCTCTGGACTTTGTGGTGGTCGTGTGCGTGTCCGGCTAACGCCTCGCCTCCCGCCCTCGTCCCTCCCTCCCGCTGAGGCCGCATGAAACTCTACCTCCTCGTACGTCTCGCTGTAGACAGCATTAGTCGCCGTGGTTGTCTCTTTCACCTGCATCTGCTTCTTTGAGATTTCGATGTAGAGAATTCAATAGTATAAGTCGCCATGGTTTCCTCTTTCAGCTGCATTTTCTGTTCCCCCGTATAGGCTTCAGGCTAGCGCTTTCCTTGTCCCGCCCTCCTCTCTTTCCCCCTCTTCCTGTCACTACCCCAATCCACCCTTCCTCCCGCCGAGACTGCACGGCTCTACGCATGTGTCCATCCTCTTCAGAATTCACCTGTACTAGACGCTGCTGTTGCTGATCTTCCAGCCACATCTACTTCTGTGAATGCCTTCGCGATTCCTATTCTTGCTACTCTTTCAGCTGCATCTACTCCTTTGTATGCCTTTCTGGTCTCGCACCGGTGCAGGCTAGCGCCTTTTCTTCTCCCTCCCTTCCCTACCACCGATACTCTCCGGCTAAGGCTGCATACGCGTATTTCCCTCTCAGTGCAGCTACATCTACCACTTTTGCTGCTACTTCTGTTACAATCCGTTTTCACCGCTTCTATAGAATATACTGGCATACGGTGTGGAGCGATTGTACCGTACGCGTGTGCTTGGCACATGAATGTCAATTGGTTCATTCTCTCTTAGTTTTTGTCGCTTTTCTTATACATGTGTAGGGCAACGTATTGCATGCGGCTACGCGGCTGACTCTTGTTAGAAGGTTTTTAGCTTCAAGCATAGGGCATTGGAAGTATCGTAGCTGTGTCATTTTCTCTGCTCTCTACTTCGATGAAGATCGCGCACTGCATGAACACACGCGTTCTTCCCCTTAAAAGGCGTTCTGGGCGCGGAGCATCCGGCACAGACGCTCGGGCATTCACAGCTTGGTAGTTCTCTTTTTTCCTGCCTCGCTGAATCCCGGTTACTGCGTGTAAGACCGCAGACAGTGCGAGTATCGCGCGCTCATGCAGCAGGTGAGTAACGCCAAACGATGAAAGCTGTACGTGCTGCTGGTGGTCCTTTCCTTGTTGCTGTAACTCCTACGCTGGAGCATATCAGCGGTTTGTACAGATGCTCTGGCGGACCGTGTGACCGGGTCTGCACCTGTCAAATTTCAAAGTAGGAAGTCTTTCGCGTGAAGCCGGCCCAATTGAATTTCTGCGGCCTTCCGCCTTCCCCCGCTCTCCCCTAGCAACTGGAAAAGTCTGCTTTCTGTGTTATTTAGTGTAGAGGATTAGGAGCTACCGTAGTACCGTAGTGCTCTACTTTTCTCGTCGCACTGTTCCTGTTTCCCTCAGGCGCTGCGGGTATTGAAAGCTCTGCCTATGAGCCGTTTGACCCTCGGCTGCACGTCTGAGGCCTCCTGTATGCTGCTACGGGGACTACAGTGGCACCTTCTTTGCTGCTGCTGCTGCTGCCGCTGCTATTCAGTATGTCGTGCTCTGACCGACAGATGGCCAGTTCTTCCTTATTCCTCATTCGCTCTGCTAGGCTTGCTAATTTCCATCTTTTTGATCTATCTCTGTGTACTGTTGTATACAGACAAAGAGAAAGTAACGCCTCCTAGAAATGCCTGCATGAGACCAGGGTAGGCGGCAGCGGCCCCGACTCTCGAGAGCAGTAGTGTGCAGACGGAGAGACACCGGCATTTACAGCCGGCTGGAGAAAGCAGTCATACACAAAAACGAGATGACAAGGCTGGCCGACTGACTTCGTGGTTGGCAGAAGTCGAGTGTACAGCAGCAGTACCTGCAGCAAGAGCAGCCAGGAAGACTCGAGCAACTTGGCTAAGGCAGTTGCAGACGGGTTGACTTACTGCAACTGCTGCTGCTGCGGCTGCCAGCATCTGCTGTAACAGCAAACAGGAGGACTAGAGCAGCTTGTCTGGGGCAGCAGCAGACGGGTTGACGTGCTGCCGCTCCTGCTGCTGCTGCTGTCAGCGTCTGCTGTAACAGCAGACAGGAGGACTCGGGCAGCTTGTCTGGGGCAGCAGCAGAGGACTTGATCTGCTGCAGCAGCTGCGGCTGCCGTGTACCAGCAGCAGCGTCGCGGCGGCCGGCGTGTGGGGAATAAGAAAGAAAGCGCCTGCTCTGTTTGGCCGCATGAGGCAGACGCGTTGGAAAGACATTGCTGCTGTTTGCTGTTGCTGCTGCGTCCCTGGACGTACCAATGCTGTAAGCCCTTCCATTAAAGACGGGCACTTGCAGCCAATAGAATGAAGTATGCAGCACCCCTTGTCTGGCTATCCGCCTGTTTATGCACTCGCAGAGTCCGTCAGACGCAAGCGTCTGCTTCCGCGTAGTATATTGCTGGATATCACACTTAACACACTATCGAGGTGGAACACATATTGTGCCTACATTTGTATACGCATGTGTGCGTGCCTGAAAGCAGACAACAATATATATATATATATATATATTTATATATATCTATGTAGGTAGATATATATGTATATGTGTGTACGTTTAAAGCCTCCTCACGCCGCTACATAAGTTTGTTGCCAGTGTACTGGCAAGCAGGACACTGGGCATGCGCAGGGTTCCTGCGCATGGCACGGCTCTCTGCTTGTAGCAGTCAGGACAGGGAAAGCAAAGCACACTGCATTATATGAACGATCAGAAGCTGGACCGCGTCAACCCCCATAGCGTGCGTATGTTATATATGTGCGTATGTATGTACAGATGCATATGGCACAGGGTACCCGAAGTGATCCAAGCGTCATGATGGACTAGTCTTTGTGCACTCATTTTGCTTGATATATGTATGGTGTGCAGCCTGTGCCTTTCTGTTTGTCCACCAAGCTATGCCAATACATGTGGATGTGGCAGCGCGGTAGGAGCTACGACAAGGCGCATATGTGTAGGCGGTCACGCATATACGTATTGCCCTTATCCTGCTGCTGCATCTCTTTCTGTGTTGTCGGTTTCCTGTGCAGCGGGAGCGACTGCCAGGGCTGCAGCGCCCCTCGGACGTGCAACAATCAAGTACGTCTTGTTGGTTCTGCCCATATATCTGCTTCTGGGTATTCAAATCTTTGCGAATCTGCTGCACCGTTTTTCCTCGTGCTTGCTTTTCGCACGTCTTAGGCGTCGACTTCCTCGATTTCTTTTCTTTGCTGCTGCGCATGAGCCGCCCTCGTCCGCTCGGCCCTTCTTGTCGTTGCGCGCATTTGTATTTGACGCGCAGGTTTGTTTACGCTGCTTCTAGGGTGCTACTGTATAGCCAAAGCCTATTAGCCTGAGCAGAGACATTACCGCGTCTTTGAGTGCCTGCTGCCTGCAGAGCATATAGCAGGAAGATGCTTTATTCGGGTAGAGGGAAATACAGAGCCTTAGTAGAATTGCTTGACAAAGCTGTCACGGCGTCGGCAAGTAAGAATGTGACAACAGCGATGGCCTGCTACTTGCAGAGCGTGCAGCACTGAGAAGCGCTTGAAGCCGTAGGACACACACAACGGTAGTAGATGTGGTGGGGGAACCTGCTGCTGCGTCGGCTACTTTCAGTGTGGGTGTAGCTGCTACTGCATGTAGGAGCACGTGCTAGCTGCATCGCGCCTAGCTGTAGGAATCTCTTTGTAGGTGTAGGGCGCACTCAGCTTCAGTACAATTTTTCTTCGAAGCCGGACACTGCGACGGTACGTCTAAGTGTGGGCATAGCTGTTACTAGGGGTGGGCATAGCGGTACTGCGTGTAGGGATATCTGCTGGGAGGCTGTAGCACTGAGAAGTTTGTCGTATCTGTAGGGCACGTACAACTGTAGCGGATTTGTTCGGGAAGGCTGTCACTGCGTCGGAAGCTTCCAGTGTGGGCATATATGCTACCATGTCTACGATAGTAGGCCTACATCTTTCATCTGTAGGGACCTACAGCCGGCATTAGTAGATTCGTTTGGGATCCTGTCACCGCGTGGGCACGTAGCGGTGGCGGTGTATATGACATCGTGTCTATAATTCTGGCACTATATCTCCGTAGCTGTGGGGAAGTCTCTACGGATTTTGTGTGGCAGTGTGACGCTGCGTGGGCACCTAGCAATATGGACGTAGCTCTGACTCCCTACACGAGTGCCTGCAACCTGCAGAATGTATATCCGTAAGATGCTCTTTGTAGCTGTAGGGCAGTCACATCTTTCGTAGACTCGTCCGGGAAACCTGTGACCCGTGCTGCTGAAGCCGTACTGGCACTCAGCGTTATGCTTGGTGAAAGGTGCTTCCGCCCAGGTTCACCCATGCTCTTGGAGATATAGGAATCGTCTCTCTCTTGTCTAGCGCTACCTGCAGTTGGTCCTTTGATATTTGGCGGGCGGCGCTGGCACTAGTGTGCTGCAGATCTCCCAACGTTCGCTGAGAATCAGAATAGATCTCACGCGAATACGTCGCCTCATGCTGCTGCTTCCTTAGTTTATGGATGACGGCACTGGTACTAGCCTGCTGGCTGCACGTAGGCGCATTCCCGTGGAGAGACAGAATCAATTTCACTAGTGTCCGGCGCCTATGGCGTGGTAATAGTCGGCAGCGCCGGCAGTACTGCGCTACAGGTGTGCCCGTGCTCCTCGTGAAACAACATGTATCTAATTTATGTACAGCGCATCCTGCTGTTGGTAGTCGGAGAGCAAGCTGGCACCCCGGCAGCAGTACGCTGCGAGTCTGTGCGTGGTCGTGAAGAACACAGGTTGCTGATGGAGCAATATGTTGTCCTTCTCTCGGTATATATCTATATATATATATATATATATAAACATTATATATCTCTCTGTATGTACATATATATATCTGTGTTTCGGAGGTGTATTTCCTTAGAGTACAGCTCCCTCTTTCTTTGAGTGATACCTGGCCGCACTGCGGCTTGGCGTGCTGCAGATTGGGATATGCTCGTGGAACAACAAAATGTATTTAACTAGTTTGTGACCCACTTTTTTTCTCGTCAACAGCTGGTAGCGGTGACACTGTGGTTTGCTTCCAGTCTGGGCGTGTTCGTGGAGATACAAGAGGTATCTCCCTAGTGTACAGCCCCTTGTTCCTCTCTGTGGAAGCTCGCCGCCCTGGCAGTAGCCTATTGTTTGTCTGACTGATAGCTGGGAGCGCTGGCACTTGGCGCTCTGCAGATCTGGGCATACTCATGGAGAAACAAAATATTTCTGTCTGTGTACAGGCATCATGCGGTGAACTGTCTGAGTAATAACAGGCAGCAGTCTCAGTAGTGTTGGGTTGGAGATACTCGGTATGCCTCGCCGTCTCTTGCTATGTTGCCCACGCAGCATTGTATTCGCTTGGCTCTTTCGGTTGGGAGCGGCCAGGAAGAGAACTTCGTCTTTTGAGTAGCGAAGCCGTCAGCGCGGAGTCACCTGCTGGCTCTCGGAAGAGCCAGAGCCGTAGCAATGGCTCGTCAAGGGATTACGATACGTCCTCAGCAGCGGCAGAGGATGCGGCTAGTGGGTCCTCAACTAAGCAGCATGGTCGACCATCTTCCGCCGGCGTTGCATATGTAGGGGACGTTGTCCTTCTCCAAGCAGATTCCGGCTTCCAGTCTTTCTACCGGCGAAGCAGCACAGTAGGCACACGCAGAGGGCCCCGAAGGCGGCGGTCCACGGCAGGTGGCTACGGCAGACCCAGAAGTTCCACTCACGCTTACTCCACTCCGAAACTCTTGGGAACTGCTGCTGCCGCACGAAGAGGGAGAAGCAGTGAACCAGCTGGTGGTGTTTCTATCGAAACGCATGCTGCTAGTGCTGCTGCTCTCCTGGATGATGCTTCGCGCAGTTCTGCTGCTACTCCAGAGCCGGCCTCTGACGCTGCTGCTGCTGCTGCCGCTGCTGCTGCTGCCGCTGCCGCTGCTGCTGCTATTGCTGGCTCTGCTGCGGGTAGCTTCGAGGGTCCTAATGATGGTGGACCTGGTGATGCTGTTGCTAGCGATGTCTCTCCGAACCTCGAGGTTGACAACAGCAGCAGCAGGGGAAAAGATGCATATGAGACGTCTGCATCTACAGTCGGGACCCGCGGGAAACTGGCTACTCCAAGAGCTGAGGCGCCTGCTGCACGAGAAGACACAGGAAAAGAAGAAGCAGGTCCCCCACTATCTTTCGAGGAAGCCGTACACGAGAAAATTAGCAGCTCCGCCACGACCGTGACAAACGGCACCAGCTCGTGTGTCAGCGTATCTACCGAAATTCTGGCGAGGACTCAGCAGGACTCCATTGAGACCACCGCATCAGGTGAGGTAGCTCCGTTTTTACGGGAGATACTTGTTACAACTGCTGCAAATTCACAAGAAATAGTCATCACGATGTCTCACCCGCGGACGGACAAGCAATAGTTTCCACCATATGGGAGGCGTTACTGTTTCTGTCTTACTGCGAACGGCTCCAGCATACTGACACAGTTTCGCTCAGAGGTATTTTTGCAGTTCTAGCATGTACGTGAAAGACACGTGTCCTGCTGTCGCAAACGCGCATAGAGTAGTCTTCCCGATATATGAGGCCTTGCTGTTTCGTCGTACCATACACAGCTACGGTAAGCCGCCTCAATGTCGATCAGAGGTGTTGTTGCAGTTTTAGCATGTACACGAAAGAGACGTGTCCTGCTATCGCGAACGCGCAAAACGGTAGTCCTCCCAATATCTGAGGCCTTGCTATTTGGCGTTGCTGTACACAGCTACAGTACGTCGGCACAGTTTCGTCCGGAGGTCTTGTTGCAGATTCAAAGTGTACAAGGAGGAGATGTGCCTGGGTGCTGAGAATGCGCATACGATAGTGCCCACCATATCGGAGGTCTTGTTGTGTCAGCCTTATAATAAATAGCTATAGGACACCCACACACGACGGCTCAAAAGTCTTGTTGCAGCTTTCACATGTACGGCTGCAGCATCTCGGCACAGTTTCTTTCCTGCTGTCGTATGCGGGCGGTCACCGGGCAGCAGCACCACCAGCGTAGACTGGTGATATGTATTATTGTATATATACATATGGCAAGAATATATGTATGGGCTGGAGAGGACGAACCAACTGCCTCTTCTGTTGGCAATGGCGGTCGTTTTAGAGGACGTGTAGCGTAGCAGTAGAAAGACCTGCAAATGCAGTTGATGCCTGCGTGTCAGCCAAACACAGATACGTTTATTGAGGCACACACAATGAACAGCGACGACACCGGAAGCTCTACTGGGTAGAACACGCGGAAGTCCAAGTCGAGTGCGCTGGAGCGAGTATACGTGCGCAGCTGCAGGCGTAGAGGGGCATACAGCCTTTTTTTTCCTCCTGATTGGGTATAATGCCGATACTATTATTACAACTGTAATCATAGTGATTTCAATACAATCACTGTTAGAAACAAGTGACTAAAACTCGGGCCGTCCAGTGTAGCTGTAGGCGGTAGTATTTCCTCTCACAGGTTCGCCCTTCCGCAGCGGTTCCCAAGACCGCTCTGCAGCTGGATAGAAGCAGCAGCGTTGCAGATAATGAACTGTGTGAGGATGGATGTAGCAAAGGGTCCCACACTGAGCACCTATCCACCGGCTTGCGCGGCGCATTCATGAAGATCGGCTGCACGTTGCAAAGACTACCCTGCGAACAGTGAGCCGTTCATTCGCCACCAACTCCTTCAATTCTACCAGGCTACGTAACACGTGTTTTCATACCACGAGCTGTCCTTGTATGCATTGAAGAGTTGGCGGAGCCGTCCGCGCTCCGGCCTGCTTTGGGTGCTGCTTTCCTGCTTCGGCTCTGATTAGCTCCGCGCTTTTGGAAGGCGTCTGTGGGACAGCGCTGCTACTGCTGCTTCAGTCTGCTTTCGCCGTTACTGCTAGTAGTACGACTACGACTACTACTACGATGACTATTACTACTGTTACTAGACGTCGTGAATCTGATTGTAAGACTGCACCGCTGCCATCTCCGTGTTGCTGCCGCAGGACCGTCATTCGGCAATGGGGAGGACGCAAACTGGCAGCAGGAGCGAAGCGATAGTGTGCCGACAGAGAGGAAGGAGCAGAACACCGGCAAGAGCTTACCGCGTTCCGATTGCAGCAGTCACAGTTCTTACTACACACCCCGCTCGCAAGGAAGTGAAGAAATCCGTTCTTTGAACAGTGCTTCCTCGATTCCTCAGGGCCGCAGCCAGAGAGAAAGTGCGCGATAAAAAGGTGGAGCTACCTTTGCGCTCTCCACACGAATGTATGCGGCGTCATTTTAAATAGGGAAAGCGGCAATACACGCACGGGCGTAGCTGCCACGTGTCTGCGCCTAGGCGGGCACGATTGTTGGCCCGTTACAGGGAGACCACACATATATTTGCGCATATGTACGCTATGCGGGTCACAGAGCTGCATGTGTTTCAGCTCAGCCCGTGTATGCCGAGCGTGTGCTCTACGCTTATACAAAACCGCATACGTTACTACCCAGCTTGTGTATACCACGCGCCCTGAGCGCCAGTGGCTC